TGTATTGTGTTTTTATGGAAGTAAATGTATGCTGTTTAAAAACCTCGCGATTGCTGAACAAGAAAACGACACATTTATATATATATATGTATATATATATATATATATATGTATATATATATATATATATATATATGTATAATATTGATAAACCACCACGATGCCGAGACATTTGCAAAACTCCGACCGCAGATGTCTACAGTGGGGAGCGAACCCGCTATTGTCCTTCCCGATGAGTAACGCGTTCACCACCACACCATACGGGTCCTTTGTTTCTCCTGTTCTCAGCTGGTTCGATCGATCAGAGCCATCAGCATTCACACGTCAATGGGATCGATCTGGGGAGCCTATTTCAGCTTCGCATCCTCAGTAGGTGCGTTTTGGATCAAGTTCAACCCAGTTAAGCTGAGGCTGTAGTTGAAATCACAATGCTTACTTTCTATTTTCTGCCTCTATTGATTTGCTCTGAGTTGATTTGATTCGATATTGACTATCGAATAAAAACATAATTTTTCACCAAAATTTCAGAGTAGTTAATGATTAATTCGTCAGATGGTTGGAGAAAAATTTGTTCCATGCCGTAGATATTTATGAATATGCTGACGTTTCGGGAGCATATAGGGCAGCAGCTACAGGTATAGTAATCAACATGTATTCTTTCATTGACAGGCTTGAAGAAAACTTTACTCGGCTAAGGTTTCGGTACGATCGCCTTGTTCAGAGCCGGATTGATCTGAAACAATTGTTCATAGTTGCTCCTTCTTCCGATTTAGGTGTTCCTGATCGTATCGAGCGGAATCCAGTGGAACAACATTTGAATAAAGTAACTTCACTCAGCAGTGTCCTTTCATACAAAACAGTTGTTGATACTGATTGCTCTTTGATGACTGTTTGTTTTTTTTCGGACATCCAAGTTTTTTATCAATCTCGCTTTAGCTTGTCAATGAAGGAATGAATGTCTTTGAATTCTGGTACAGTCCATTTTTCCGCTGGTCCTGGCATAGCCGTGGAAGGATGTTCTATACTTGATAAGGAGGGAACGAGCTGATCTCAGACAAGTTTGATGGCAATTTCTCCGCCTTTGAGGGAATGGAGGCTTGGCTTAATGAACTCGAGCAGTGGTCGAAGCATTACAGTGCTCTTGATGGATGGTGCCACTACTATTGTAGTCCCCGCTCTATGCTTACTATAAAGCAAATTCAATGAAAAAATTTCCGGTAAAGACAGCCTCTCTAGTGCATTTTCATATCGCCAATTGAAAACGTATGTTGTTATGAAGGAAGCGTCTACTGAGCGCTTATTGTTTCTCATGAAACGAGTTTACACTGGCATGTCTGTCTCGCCTTTCCTAAGTTGCCGCCAGTCACGATTTCCTTGTTGTTACAGTGGTTTTAGTTTTTTCCTTGCTTTCTCTTTTGCATATATTTCACTAGATCAAAGGCAAACTCGTAGAATGAAACCTTTAAGAAACATCACTCATTCAAATTCATCTCTATGGCACGCACATACTTGGAATTGAAAACCTGTGATAGAAAATACAACTAAGATGATGCTAAGATATTTGCAAAATTCCGCACCGCAGGTGTCTGCGGTAGGCAACGAACGCGCTATTACCTTTCCCGGAGGCTAACGCATCCACCACCACACCATGCGGGTCCTTCGTTCCACCTGTCTCTCAGCTAGGTCTAACGATCAGCGCCATCAGAAATCACATCATCTCAGTTGTATTTCACATGATACATTGCCGTGATAAATTATAGTAGGCAATAAATAGAAAAGATTAAGATTGTGATGGAAAAGTTTGAAGTGAAAATGTACTAAATCCCTTGCAAGCGGTGTGATGAAAGGTGGAAGACAAATTATATAAAGTCGCAGATGCTCAAAAAGTTGGACCCACCGTTACATCCACATCAGTATTGTTAGTTATCTTCGCATTTCATGCGAATGCAGGTTTAACAATGAAGTTCAAACTGTGGAAGAGTAAGTGTTTCAACTTCTAGTCTGATAATACGTGTCGCCTTCAGAGTTTTGAAGAATTCGTGTAGTTGGCCGTCCATCTTTCTCCATTTCAATGGTAGTGACTCCATCACTTCTTCACTAAACACGAGCCCGTATAAGCTTTGAAGGCGGCAACACAAAAAAAACTCCTAGGCGTGGAAATTTTTGGTTCAACAAGTCTATGGATATAGATCTGCGTTTGTCCACTATAGATATATACAAATTCTATGGCACGCTCAGAGGACTTCGTGTCGAAATCAACTCGGCAATCTCTGCTTTTCCTAATAGGAGATCTGACTTAACTACTGTCATAGCGTAACTCCAGCTGGTGTGGCTATCTAGCTTTTGTGTTTTTTGTGCTTTCCTTGAAGTGAGGTCATTCAATCTACGCCGCTAGCGCTTCCATTTCGACGAAATAACACTGTGTCCGATCGCTTTGATCTTTAAGTGCATTTACCTTGTCTTCTTGAATTTTGTAACCACCATTACCCTTGATTTCTCAAGTTATTAGCTTGTTCCGTGTCCAATTTAATATGATTCTTACACTTTAATTTGATAACATCGCGGACATTTTGTGTCTATGAAAATGTCGTTTATTATCAAGAGAACCAAATCACCTCCAAACTTCTCGGAAATACCAAGAAACAGCTAGTAAAACAGCCTATCGTTTGGACTCTTATCACCTAACGCTCGCGCCATTAAGTGGGCTACTCTGGGAACCAAGTCAGTAATCAGTAGTGATAATAACAAAGCTGCAGAGCAGCTTTCGACTTCGTAGAACTTATTACTGAATTTCGGGAGTAATGGAGAGTGGCGGGGGGTGTGGGAGCAGGTTAGCACCTATACATCAGTACCAAGTGAATGGCAGGCAGGAAATTCAATAGTCCCTATTGTTTTTCCACTAACATATACAAAATTAGTAACTAGACCATGTCTAAGATGGCATCGCTTTTGTCCTAGTTTCGGACAGTCGCAATTTGGAACGAGCTACTAAGGAGAACTGCCTAATCAGCGCCCACGCATTTGGCAGAATCAATCCAACTTTAGGAATTTCAGCATGCGAACGCTGTTGATTCTCTGTGCGATGATACCGTTTGTCATCAGCATCGGTCGAACGCAAGCTGTAGGCGTTCGTGGAGTGCTTATCTGTAACGATAAACCAGCCGTTGATGTTGAAGTGAAGCTTTACGATGAAGACAAGCGTAAGCCAAAAATATTAAAAGTAATTTATTATTAAAAAATAAAAATGCTTAAAAATTTTATCTACTTTATTACGTTTCAAACGCACCTTCAGGAAAGGAAAAGATCAGAAAACCACATTCATTGTATCGATGTTGAAGGTCGTCACAGCAATAACAGGATGTTTTCGATTGCAACTTCTGCGAGTGACTCAATAGATTCTTTTTTTACACTGCTGATGTTTCATGATTTTGCGACAAGGGGAATTCAATGTGCAAAACAGTTTTTGTCAACGGAAAATACCGTTCTAAGCAATAAGACCAGTGTTTACAAACTATGCGGATCCAGAAGTTCCTTTGGCCAGTTAGCTTGTTCGCATCCTGCATCCAGCAAGGTCTCCAGGTTTGAGCCCCGATTCGACCTCTATCTGCGAAGATTACGTTCCCATAAATGTCACTGAAGGTTGGTCGGGCGTAGTTCTATCCGGGTTAGCCCAGTTAGAGCAATCTTCACCAAAAATCGTCGCCGGCCTTTACGGATTAGATGCTCATGCGAGGTGTTCTTGATACTCTTGACTTTCTTACCTTGGAGAAGTGCGAGATGTGATTGCGTTATTATAAAGTCGAACCAGAGATATGTGCATGTTGCTGGTCACTGCGCCACACGCTTTTAGATACAAGGCGATCAATTTATTTGACAGTGATGTTCTCTGCCCCTATGTCTATTTCTTGTAATTAATCAAATATTTGGTCGATCAAACGGGTAGGTATCCTTACCACTCATCAGTTTTGATGATGATTCGATAGTATTTAATTTCCTATGTTGCAAAGGATATGGTTATTTAGGACATTTTATTGATGGGTTCTTGACTGAATCTAGTTTCAAACTACTCTTGGAGTGCGTCATGTTGTCAATTCTAATCTGAATTTGAAGATTTAGTATGGTTCATAACTAAACAGGGCAGCACTGAAGAAAAGCAGTAAAAGTATCTTTGCTTAGATACTTGGACGGCCCGTCTTCAGGAGTTGTGCGGACCCAAGCACATTTTCCATTCTTTTCTTACCCTTGCAATCGCCGTCCACGGCGGTGGTTTCATTCGAGAATACTGACAGGTTCGAGTGTCATACCTTGATCTGTAAAACAGCTGCAGCTGCGAGCACAGCAGACTGACTTTTGTTGCGAACACGTCAGCCCAACGTGTAAGTGATCGACCTAGGGGATGCTTGCACTCTCATTGAGTCAATTCAGCAGTTCTTTGCGTCCATCTTTCGTGTTTTCTTCACGCTATGTTAGTACATCTGTGCTTCGCTATCGGTGTCTGCGCTCTTGGATCTCGAAGATAAGATAGACTTTAACATAAGGTATTCGCCTTCCGTCTTGATGTTGTGTGTGCCGGCAATATTTCAGAAAACATCGTTCAACCGCTGAGTGACCAACGCGCAGTATTTCTGAGTGAAGCATTAGTCCACGTCTCTGCTGGATGACAGAGCACCAGCAGGACCGTCGAATCTAAAAGCTGAGCACAGATTTTTGAATACATTACTTGATCGGTGGCTTCTTTGAAAAGCCTGGGTGCGGCCCAGGATGATGAGTTGTGAATTCTAAGGTAAATGCCTCAAAAGCGCCATCTGCATCTTTCTCAGAAAGAGTTCGCAAAAAAATATTAGTGATATCTTAACACGACTATCTAGCCCGGAATGATTTCTAGTAACTCCTGATGAGTTGATGGCTGTCGGAAGAACGGATAGCCGTGGTCAGTTCGAGATCAAGGGCCATGCAGACGAGTTCACATCGATCGAGCCAAAACTGAACATCTATCACGACTGTGACGACGGTATCAAGGTATGCCTATTAGTTTTTGGGAAACCAGTAAAGGAAAATTCAGGCGAGTAGAAGCTGTCGCTGAATTAGGTCTTGGTTAAGTTTCCAAGCTTCACTCCTTTCGAAACGAAGCTAGTTTTTCAACAGCTGACGATTTTTTCGATTAATAGAATGTTCTAGAAGTTCTAGGGCTTTGTAGATTTATATAAGTGACTTTCCGCTGCTGCATTAATAGCATATATAATATTTACATAGACTCCCGATTTAGATTTGCTTAGAATTGGAACTCCCCAAAAACTAAAAAGTAAATTTAAGTTTAAAGAAAGTAAAAAAGCAACTGAAGTAAGTTTAAAATTTCCAGCAAATGAACGGCAGTTGTAGAAATGAATAGGTTGAAAAACACCGTCATGTCCTTCTGGACAAAATCCCGCTCCTCATTCTCATTCATATCAGAAATTCTTGCAGAAGTAGAAGAGTGGATGAATTACACTTTATAGGCTCCAGAAAGTCTTAGTTTCATCTTGGTAAGATAATAAGACTTTTTTCTTTTAGACAAAGGTTTATAGATTCTAAAACCTTTCTACAAAACTTAATAAAACTCACTATGAGCTTAGTTTGGTTCATTTAAAGTTGAAATTGAAGGTGGCATCATTTTCGCATTGTAAGACTTCTACAGAAGTCAAACCATCATGCAAGGATTAAAGAGTCCTATCATTAGATCTTTCTGATGTGAGCACACGCGGACAGACTGTCCACGAATGTGGGCATTGGGTGTTAGGGGTTAAAGGCCTATCGAGAGCAATATTCTTTGTCTTGGTGTCTAAAATGTATTATAGCAGCTCTTAGAGGCATTTATGAGGTTTGTTAGTGTTCGCTTTTCTCAAGAATCGTTCTTATGCTGTTAGCTTTTCTGAACGGACTTGCTGATTCTCGACCTCCATCAAGTGAGCCTATTAGCAACAGACGCAAAAGCTTGCCAATCTATGAAAAATATGTATTTTCTTTTTTTATTTTGTTCCTTTAACGTCTTAATGAAAATAAAGACGATTTTAATCATTGTTTGCATAGCCAAGCGTTGTGAGCCATTTATCGTGAAAATTTTTATTATTCAGTACTATGTAAGCGACAAGAACATTATAGTCAGAGCCAGCCGTTGAAGTTACTGGTGTATTTCCTCGATTTGCTGGGGGCATTTCCCCGCTATAGTCTCTCACCTAAATTCGGGAAGCTACGATACATCAGTCTAGCCTAGCTGCAGACCACGAAATACTCAGTAAGACTTTCTTCTGGTACAATTTCGGCTTTTGGAAGTGCTGTAGAACTGCACAGCGGTCCAGCCGCTAGGAAGATCGTCTCCAGTTGTCGTAGATCTATTTCTCGCTGCACGTAACAATATGCTCGAGAAACGAAACGTTCCGATTGCGCAGAATGACCACCGACGTTACTTCAAGACGACGATTTCTTTAAGTATCATTCAATTCACGTGGCACTCTTTTGTAGAGCTTCTTCGTCCTTTCTTTTTTCTTATGACGATTCGAAACAGCTGCGCTACTTACACACAGCTCTTCCGCAGGTACTCGAACAATCGCACGGCTGCTTGATTCCACCGAAGCTTTCGATTCATCGCTGCTTGTATCACAACGATGTCCGCGACCTCTCTCATCTTCAACGTCGAATTCTACACAACGAAATTTTTCAAACAAACGTCGCAGTGTGCAATTGTTAACCCTTCTTCGGTGCCTTGGCTCAGTGATGTTTCAAGTTGTTTGCTTTGCACACGTCCGAGTTTGAATTCATGGAAGGAGAGTCGTCGAAATTTCTGCTTCGACATATGAAATTTTAGCCTTTAATAATTGCGAGAAACACAACTTGTATTATAATTCAATTAGCGAAATTGCATTGAGTTTTACAATGGTAAGAAATCGTACACCATCAAGAAGAAAATCTATTGCTAAAATGTATAGAAGAAAAATCAAATCACAAATATCGGCGATTATTTTCAAAAGGCTTCCCAATGGTTTACCGCCTCATGGTGGCTGAGAGGTGTTCCTGGATGTCAGACCGCGGTGTACAGCTGGGGAATTCGTCCTTCCGGCAGGATCTCCCGCGCTGAGAAAGAGTCCGGCGTCTCCACCAGGAAGCCCAGCATAGAGCAAATCAATACCAGGATCCACCACCGTTCTGATATCCAACTAGTCGCATGGTGGCAAATCTCTCTCCGATCCACAAGGACGGCGACTGCCTATGTTGGTGACGACCTGGAGAAGACTTTGACCTCAGGACTCAAGGGAACTACAATGGCTAAACCAGCAAAACTCCTGAGAATGGAAATTATCCTGGGGCCCACACAGCCAGTGAAGACAGGCCATCCAATTATCTGCCATAATTTCCATTCTCAGAAGATGTGCTAGTTTAGCCATCGAGGTTCCCTGATCCCGAGGGCAGACTGGCCAAAGTCTGTCCCAGGTCGTCATCACCACAGGCATTTGCCGGCCTTGTGGATCAGAGGGAGATTTGTCACCATGCGACTAGTTTAATACCAGGACTGTAGTGAATCTTGGTGTTGGCTTACTCTCAGCTGGGCTCCCTGATCGGAAACGTTGGATTACTTTTCAGCTTGGGAAACCCTGCTGGAGGGATGGATGTTCCGCTTTACATCGCAGCCTGACACCCAAGAACACCTCGCAGCTATGATGAGGTGATAAGCTGTTGGGAGGCACCGTTGCTAAAGGGTTGGGAGGCTCTGATGAAGACGAAGGAGTCGAAATGTTAGCCGAATAAAAGTTGTCCACTAACATCATGCTAGCGTAACAATCCAAGAAGGTATTGATTATAACAACTACCGAGATTATAAGACGGTGGGACTGAAAATTATTGCTTTGCTGATGAAAAAGTTGCTAATAAGGAGTTTGTCATCATTACTGGCAGTAATTTCAGCCATGCCAACGCAAGCTTTCGATTCATATCCCAGATGCCTATATCAGTAGTGGAGAGGCAAGTTCGCACCCTACAGTTCTCCAATAGATAGTATTTCATTTGTAAGGCGCAGTATTTCTAAAATTTCTCTTCTATTCTAGGAACCACGAAAAATCTTCGACTTTGGCACGTTCCAACTTGCTGGCAAGTATTCAGGAGAAACCAGAGACTGCCTTCATCGAATATGATGAAATGCTGAAAATCTTTTTTCAAAATGGACAATAGAATAAATTTCTTACCTCTACCGTGATCATGACTAATTTCCATCAGCTGCAGCGTGAGCTTCGCCACACCTTTCGTGCATTGAGCTCAACATATGTGGTCATTTAATTCTCGCAAAAGAGAGACGCTAGGTGCATATCTCATCAGCAACATACTCCATGCCACTCAGTCGTTAAAAAGCGCGGAATCGCTGCGGAATTCGTGTAATTGAACTTGTCAGCACAGGGATCTTTGTGCAGTCTTTGTCTGCAATGCTCTTGTCATGGAATACACCTTGGTATCCGAAACGAAAAAACTCGTAGCGTACAAAAATAAGTCAAAGGATGCAAAGCGGCATCGCATCGTCGTCCTTGATATGAAGGGGAAGCGGTTGATCGAATACTGAATGCTGATATGATACCAGTATGATAACGCTGGAGGTGCAACAGTTAGTACCTGATACAAGGTTTTTTTCTTCCCAGCTATAGAGGTAACTCTTCAATATCAAACGAAAGTTGTTGTAACGAAAGACAATGTTTTCACGGATTTATGAGCTAACACGGATTTGTTAAGGCGAAGGCGCTGAGCGTTTTGTTACATTAAAGAGTTCTTCTTAATACCAACTCTGTGTAATCTCATGAATCTCACGGCTCATCGACGCTCATGAATACAAGAGAATACTGGCCATTCGTGCTGAGACTAGGTTAAACTCTTTTCAAAAATCATAGAAAGCCGATTACTGTCAAACTGTGGTTGTGCTCGCACTGCATGATGCACATATGAGCAAATTCTCATCTCAAAAACAAGTGAACAAATATACATAAGTTTCAATGTTTAACGTTTTGTTTTCTGCCTTCTATAATTTTCATGGCAGGTTATTAAGCGAAATGCAACCACAACGTTGCTGAGATATTTGCAAAACTCTGGACCGCTGAGAGACAGACGAAACGAAAGACC